CGTGACACTCACTTTTTTATCTCAACTAAAAACCTTAATTAATTGAAAGATAAAATAAAATGCAAGCCTGAAATTTGGTAGGCCATTTTGGTCTTCCTAGCCTAGCCCCGGGTTGGTCTTCAGGCACGTTCGGCATTTCGCCATCTTCAGTATATCTGCTAACAAACATATCGAAGGTGGGCAGAGTAAAACGATCTGCCACGAAAAAAAATGAATGATTTGAAACTGAAAACGTTGTAATTAAATTAAAATGTGGTTCATTTTCTTTAATTACCGACAAGCTTTTAAAGTCTCTTAAGCTAATTGCCAACAATGCTTAATGAATGAAAAATTACAGGCTTTTTGTTTGATTAATTGCTTTTGATGATGACTTTTTTTAGTACATAGTCGTATAGTTTTATTTTTGGTATCCTGTTGATAATAGTTTTCAGGTTGTTTAGAATTTTTCCAAAATGCCTTTTAAAAGATTTGACAAACAGATCACGGATTTCCTTTTTTAACACCACACTTCATAGTTTCATCCTGTTCTGAATCATCTATTTTTATTGCTTTAACGCTTTCAGACTTAATGCTAAGGTCGAGAGGGCGTCCGGGCCTGAAAAAACAAACAGACCGCCACGTGTTTCCCCTATGAGGACGACATCATGACCTCAGGGCCACGTCGACGATTCAAAGTGCACCGTCAAACGCCGAAGAAATTAATTTCGATAATACAAAGATTAGACCGGGCCCCGGTTGTAATTAAACAATTGTACAATTGGTCCTAATCGGGCCAATTGACCGTCATCTGGCCGGGGAATGCTGTTGACTCAAATGTGGGATTCCGGCCCCTCCTCGATTCTCCCACGCGGATTCTGACCGATTTACGTTTTTTTTAAATTAAAAAAAAAATCAATTTCAATCAGAAAAAAAATCGACAGTGGAATTTAATAAGAGGACCGACTTGTCGCCGGCTAAGAAAACTGACGAAGCATACCGGAACGTATCGGTTTACAAATATAGACCCGATTGTTAATCGAATATTTATCGTTTGATCTAATTCCTCTAATTATCGAATAGCTCGGAAATATTCGTTCACAGTTGAAACCAGCCCAATCAGGTTCATATTTGCAGAATTCAGAATGAAAGTGGTTTTGCAGGTTCTGCCAGACGTGTCACCTGCCAGGAAGGAGAATCTCGCCCCATAAACCAAAACTCTTGCCCCCAAAGTAATAAAAATAATTTCACTTAAAAAAAAAAAAATTCAGTCTGTCTAAACGTAAAGACAGACATTTTGAATGTCATTCCCTGTCAAATATTTTTTGGCATTACACCATCTTCAGTTGTTCCACTGTGTTTTCTTATTTTCGTGACTTTTTGTACATTTTCGGACCAATTTTGAACAGTCGAGACCAGGTTAGTCAGAAAAATAACAAATTAAACCTTAACCACTACGCATTTTTATTGTCAAACAGATATTTAAAACAAAAAGAAAGTCATTCGTGTCATCTCGGAAATTCATACGTAGTTCTTTTTTTTTCCAGCATAGAATCAGTTCATATTAACATATTTTGACGGATATACAATTGATGCTCTTTTCAGACCTTTTACCGGAAGTTTCTTCAGGCCTGACCGAGTTTCACATAGACTGAGACTGCTTGAAAATAAATCACCTGGTTGTACTTCCATCCGATTCAATCTCATCGAACTGATTGATTTTACAGCTGATGAAAATGAGATAGATCGATAAATAGATAGATAGATAGATAGATAGATAGATAGATAGATAGAGAGAGAGAGAGATAGAGAGAGTGAGAGAGGGAGAGTGGGAAAGAGAGAGAGAGCCACCTCATATTTTTCTCATAAAGCTGAACTTGTGACTGTCATCCTAATAAAAATAAAACTAATGCCTTTTAACTTTTTCTAATTTTACTTTACTTTCACCAATGTACTAATAGGAGATTTCACTTTTAATTTTTTTTTCAAGTGACGTTAAATTTTGTAATATGAACATTTAAGGCAAGGAGAAAATAAATTTGCCACATAAAAGCCCCAGGTGTCTTTCCTGCCTTTCGCCAGTTTATAATTTTGGTTTTTATTAACGTCGATATATTTTTTTAAAAATTTTATATTTTAGCTGATTTTGTTTTAATTGTAATAAATAATATAATAATTGTAGCTGTTTTGCTGAAAATCTTACAAACCTGGCTAAAATGAGTGTTTCATACTAAAAAATAAAGCTCCAGGTTTTCTTGTTTTTATTTTAAAAAAATCCTTTTTGTCTTATCTATATTTAGTAATTACAATCAAAATTAACATATAACATAATTCATGTAGTATGAATAGATTATTTTGAATCTTGTTGGACTTAATACTGTCTGCTGAAAATTAAAATTTCAGGGTTTAAAATGATACCAAAACTTTCTTTAAGGTGAAAGCATTTTATTTACTGAAACTTTTACCTCAAACAATTTTAAAAATGACAATAAGCGTTTTTAATTTGGATATTTAAAGAAAGCCGATAAATAATTCACAGCTTTAAAAAAGATCTCTTCGTGGTCTCCATTCAGTTTGTTTTCTTTAATTTTCTACTGGGCGCACAGAAAAGAATTTGTTCAAGTTAAACAAAATTGTTTAACAACAAAAAAAATTGTTCAGTATGCAACAGGGTCAATAATTCCACATTACTGAGAATCACTGAGGACAGCGTACTAAAAACTAAAAGTGGGTTTAAATTTTATAATTTTGGTTTTTTCTATTGCAAGAATAGAAGGTCTAATAGTAGAACGTACAAAATACACCTATGAGAGAGAGTGAAGATGNGAGGGTGAGGGTGAGGGAGAGGGAGAGGGAGAGAGAAACAAAGAAAAATAGAAAAAAGGGGTGAGAGAGAGAGAGAGAGAGAGAGAGAGAGAGAGAGAAGAAACAAAGAAACACTGGAAAAAAGAGTGTGAGAGAGGGAGTGAGAAAGAGAGAGAGAGAGTGAGAGATAGAGAGAATCGGAGGGATAGACAGACAGAAAAAGAAATTAAAAGAGACCAATAACAGAGAAGGAATGAGAAGAAGAGAAAGGGAGAAAAGAAAGTGAACGCGAAAAAAGGAACGAAAGAAAGAGAAGGCGAGAAAGTGAGGAAGAGAGTGAGAGAAACAGTCAGAAGAAAAACTAAAAAAGTATGAGATATATTTTAAATTTTTCTAAATTTACACAGATAATAATCTAAATAAGTTAAAATATAAAATATATTATAAATTTAAGTGATCATTATTTCAAAACGTTCATCTTTAGTTTATTATCAGCGAATTTTAATTTTTTGAAAAAGACCGTGGACAAACAATGAACATTACTGTTAAAAAGATTTTTTCCTTTTTTAATAGTCAGCTATTATTTCGCGTGTATATTTTTACAGGCTCAGCGATGTATAAGGCCAGATTACAAAATTCTGAATAATTTGTCATTGTGACATTTAAAGATTTTAAAATTGGAATTATTTTATTGTTTTGTCCTTGGACTGTTTTTTTTTAAATAGGAAAAATTATTTGTGTTTTTTTTCATGTTTGGGTTTCGAGACATGTTATGCTTATGTTAAAAAGTCGATGACAAGCCGAAACTCCAAATTAGTAATATTATTTGAGTATGATGTGGTATGATGTCTAAATAGAGATTGTAAAACCTAATGACATATTTTACGGGCATAAGAACTGAAATCAAAACCGCAATTATGTTTTACGAGCCGCAGCACTCTAATTTGTAAGTCCGGACGAGCCGCAGCATCGGATTCAGAGGCGACCCGTTGTAAATCACTAAAGATTTACGCACCCCACGATTAACTCGGAACGCTTCTGCTTAGTCGTATAAACACGTCCAGACCTTGAACTAGATTTGTTAGTGGTACGGTATTTATAAAACAGTATCGGCTGCGAGGGGGTTAGGTCTGAAAGGCCATCACTCCTCCGACTGGATGTTCTCGGGACCATTGTTTACAGAAAAACGTCCAAGAAATAGGTCGGCCGACCAATGAAACGGTGTATTTCTGGTCAGATTATAAATACACGAGACGGCCAGCGTTAAGATGTCGGGTGGGGCTTAGAAAAGAACTTATATTTATTGGGAAAAAAATTATGTAAAATTCGACTTAGGATCTTTGCCAAGATACATCGGGTATTGGTTCGACATTTCTATTTTTCACACCCACCAAGGGTGGCGTGGGATTTCATGTTCGTTATTGTGAAAGTCGATTACAATGCACCTGGAGTGTGACAAATCTGTGACAATGAATTTTAACGAAGTGGCAAAACGATGAATGGCCTGAAATTGTAACGCACGTAGGGTCTTAAATCGCTTGAGGAAAACGCCATCCGCATTTTAAAGAAAAAAGAAAAAAAAATCTAGATATTTTAAAAATTAAAATAGACAAACTTCTGATATAACTAGGTAAAAAAATATGTTCATAGGTGTAGAAAACAATGTTTTGATATAAAAACACTCATTTTACTTGTTAATTTTCAATTAAAAAAATTTAAAATGCATCCTTGAATTTTTTAGAAAAAATTAAACTACACAATTTTACTTTTAACATCAATTATAATTCTCGCAGAAACGGTTCTTTGATTTTTCTAGAGGGTGAATCTCATCTTTACATCGCCAAAAGAGAAAAAAAGCCCAGACCTTGCATAGATCATGTTACAAACTTGGCCACTTCCTAGTTAATATAAAAAAAAAAAATTATAAACGGACGAAAATTCAAATATTTTTTTCACTTTTCAGGTTGTGTAAGCCCTCTTAAAATGGGCATCTGTCCCACTCTGCGGTCTGCCAAATGCTACATGCTCTAGCAATTTTTGTATAAACGACCGGACGACACGATTAAAAAAAATCTATATCTAGACGTTTAAATAACAAGGTAAAGTAATGTTAGTTTTGTTAGTAAAAAAAATTTGAACTTTGTTTTGTTAAAAAGAAATATATTTCGTATAAAGGGAGGTTAATTAATTAATTTTTTTAAATTAATTAATACCCTTACTTGTAAATAAATCCTCAAAGGAACAGATTCACCCGCGATTTGGGTTTCAACAAGCCATAGATACGACCGGTCGGAGGGTCGAGAACGGACTAAGACGGGTTTGGCATCGCTTCAGCGCTAAATTAAAACCTTCGGCCAGCGTGCATCTCCCACCGCTTGGTCGACGGGGGTTTAATTTTGCATCGGGTCCTGGGTTTTGGACAGTTTGACCGTTTTTCCGACACGCAAGGTTATAAAGGGGTGGTTTTCGGGTGGTTCGGACTCGCTGGGGCGGTTTTCCCGATCGCCCTTGTACACGGGAGACGCTCTCGAAGGACCAGATGCGGCGACCACCACCCAGACTGACGTAACCGTACTTGGAATCGTAAACGACCTGCCCTCGGGATTTTTCTCCCGTTTTATGGCCATCTCGAAATGAATATCTGGTTCCCGTTGAGACATAAATTAATATTTTACACTTAGATATATCGTATTTCTTGAATTGGAAGCTTCTTACGTAACCATGAAAAACGACTTTTTCGGTCCTCAACAACGTTAAGACATCCTGTTTTCTAAAAGGCAAAAACTGACACATCCGTCTTTTGATTTCATGATCTCGGAAACAACATCCTATAAAGTCCCAACAGGCTGTAAAAACAAATAAAGACAGGTAAAAGGAGTGAGAGAGAATTTGAGTGAGTGAGGGGCGAGGGTGAGGGTGAGGGAGAGGGAGAGGGAGAGAGAANGGGCATTTCATAATTTGACTTATAATTTATTATTAATTAGCTGTGGCAAAAAGTGAACACAGCAGAATAAGTCTAGTAGAATTAAAACTTCGGATGACTTTGTAATTTGCCATGTCCATCCAGTCCGTTTCGACATATTATACAGTTTTTATTATTGAATTAATTCATTAGTACATTTTTCCTTTTCTTTATTTTATCTTGTGTTCATTCTTGACAATTCTTGAGGTGGTGTTGACTTTTGTTGTTAACGAGTTAAAAAGTTTTTTTATGAGAGGCGAGGGGTGCCTGGAGGATTAAAAAAATAAAAGAAAGGTCCTTTAAAAAAAAGATAAGACACATTAGGTTGAGAATGAGTTGAAAATGTACTTCGTCTTCAAAATTTGAAGGCTTTCGATTCGCCAATAGTATGGATTTATTAAGCAGAAAACTTTACATAATGTATTAAAATAAATTAGAAAAAAAATGTTTTGGACCGAATTCGGCCTGGGGAAATTTTTCACCCACTCATAACAAATTTTAATTTACAGCATGTTCACTCATTTGCATTGAAAAGTGATAAAATAATCGGCACGTGTTCGTTTTTTTTTCTAATGTCAAAAAGTCACGATTCCGGTCATTATCACTTTGTGTCGACTATTCTCGGTGATTAAGGTTGATTTACAACAAAAACTGAGCTCTTAATCGTGTCAGTGATCCGTATCATTTTGGGAGATATCAATACGCCATGATATTATGTTTGAAATAAATACATATTCGTCAAATCATAAATATTTCATGTTTCTAGTCCTTTATGAAAAAATTATATATATTTTTTTGTCTTGTGCTATCACATTAGCCATTGGATATATATATAACAATTAACATATGTACTAAAAAAATTAAACTTGTGAGAAAATGAAATCGACCATTCAAAAGTCTTCCACCTAGTCGAAACAAATCAGCCAGAAGTAGAAGCGGGCGTCCGTCTAATGATTAAAAAATATACTCCAATTCTCATATGTGTAACGATGGTTATACTGGAAATGTATGGATGGACCACTAACATCCAAACAATGTGGAAAAGATCCCAGGAGTAAAACTTGCTCTGGAGGCTCCCGGCCAAGAAAGAAACCACACCAGACACCACACCGCCCATCAGGCACCCGCCCGAAGATCCTACCTCAAAGCTAAAACTTGGCGCCTAAAAATAATTAAAACAAGAAAAACATTTCAAAAAACCGCTATATCAAATCAAACATTTCGTGCCATTAACTTTTTTTCATCTCAACTAAAAACCTTAATTAATTGTCATTAATACATAAAGTTTTCTGCTGGTTTCGAATAAATTCATACTCTTGGCAATCGAAAGCCCAAAAATTCTGAAGACGAAGTATATTTTCAACTCATTCTCATCCTAAAGTGTCTTATCTTCTTTTAAAGGACCTATCTTTTCTTTTTTTAATCCTCGAGGAACCACTCGCCTATCATAAAAAAACCTTTTAACTCGTTAACAACAAAAGTCAACATTGCCTCAAGAATGAACAAAAGATAAAATAAATAGAAGGAAAAATGTACTAATGAACTAATTCAATAATAAAAACTGTATAATATGTCGAAACGGACTGGATGGACATGGCAAATTACAAAGACATCCGAAGTTTTAATTCTACTAAACTTATTCTGCTGTGTTCACTTTTTCCACAGCTAATTAATAATAAATTATAAGTCAAATTATAAAACGCACAGGAAAAAAAAACGCTTTATGAAGGTTACATTTGTACTTTACTCACAAACTGCCTTTTTTTCATCTGAGTTTGCTTCTCTAACTAGCCGGTCAAAAATCTTCTCTTCAGAATTGAACGAGCGAAAGATGCACCACAGCATTTCATGTAGTTCAATGTATCATCCTCGTGATGAACCTTTTGAAAAAACCGAGTTTTCTCATATTGCGGCCCAAATAAAAACCATCCAATCCCCTGTCCAATCCTTTTAATCCTCACTCCACCATTCATCATTTCAATCTCCAGTCCATCTGGCGTCCCTCTAGGTTCAACTCCGCTTCCCATAACTTATGCAGATTAATTAACTTTCCTTTAAACGTCCTGAAACCGAGTTTTCTCATATTGCGGCCCAAATAAAAACCATCCAATCCCCTGTCCAATCCTTTTAATCCTCACTCCACCATTCATCATTTCAATCTCCAGTCCATCTGGCGTCCCTCTAGGTTCAACTCCGCTTCCCATAACTTATGCAGATGATTCCCAAATTAACTTTCCTTTAAACGTCCTGACTTATGAGTTGCAATTATAAGAATTCAGAAGGACTTAAACCCAATTAGCTCCTGTACAGTATAAATTGATCAAATTATCATTATGTTCGAGATCATCCGAAACGTCTATGTTGTCCACTCTAATTGATTTTGTGTAGATACACCCCATCATGTGATATGCTTTGAGCCTTGTATTTTTTTTTTTTTTTGAGATGCCGAAATCGTGGAACCAAATATTTCTATGAATATTAAGGGTTATAGAGGTAAAAAAGGCTCCTTAACTTAACTTTTCATCCTGAACAGAAATAGGCAGCATATGTAGGCTCTAAATATTATTATTTATTAATAATTAAATATTACTATTAGTTTATTTAAGATCATCAACCCTTCGGCTTTCCCTTCAATACCGGAGTGTCTTCTTACCCAAAAGAGTGCAATTTTTATCCCTTACTTTTTTCCAGATGAGAACATAGTTGGCCACCCAAGTGTGCTTCGAAATAAATAGATTGTAAAAATATATACAATAATATATAATATGAAGTATTGGTTGAAGTTTTTTCTCTCAGATTTACACTTGGCTAATCAAACCGTTTTAAAGGAGCGGAGCCAATTCTCAACTGATTTCCCCCCCCTAATCCTCGTGGGTCAAGATCACGTCGAAAGAGGACATCGTCTGGCATAGGCATAATTTGCACAGTTGGCCGACGGTGTACCTTCTCAAAATATTTTTACGCTTATTGATCGGTCAATTTTGTACGCAACACCTGTCAAAAAACTGGCACCGTAGTTAAAGTTGGAGGATATGGACGAGAAAGGGTGAGCTTTTAAGTAGCGCTGGGTGGTTCTAGCAATAATTATGAATAAATAAAACAAATTGGTTTTATTTTTTGGTACTCATAAGAAAGTCAAAAAGCGTTAAAGATATATTTTGGAGAGAAAAGGTATATGAAAATGACCAAACTATTGATATTCCGTATACTTCCGAAGCTATAAAATCTAACCTCAATATTAAAAAAAAATACTTGCAGCGCTCGGATTCTTTTTTTGAAGACACCATTCGATGAAGAAAAGCCTAAAAAATATTTTAAGCATAAGAAAGATGTATGTGGTGTTTATCGACCGGGAGATGCGATCGGTGTGACGCAGGTTTTAGAAAAATATTTTCTTTATCATGCCAACGTTTCGATCTTTATTGAGATCATCATCAGGGCCTGGGATTTATAAACATTGTTTAAATTTTACAAATACATGTAGTATGTGGAAAAATGAATTTTTATAATGTTAGAAAATTTTAGATTAAAAAATGTATAAATTGTATAAATTCATTCTTTTAATCTAAAATTTTCTAGCATTGTATAACTTCATATTTTTTAATCTAAAATTTTCTAGCATTGTATAAATTAATTCTTTTAAATCTAAAATTTTCTAGCATTGTATAAATTCATTCTTTTTTTAAATCTAAAATTTTCTAGCATTGTATAAATTCATTTTTTTAATCTAAAATTTTCTATACTTGCAGCGCTCGAATTCTTTTTTTTTTTTTTTGAACACATCATTCGATGCAAAAAAGCCTAAAAAATATTTTAAGCATAAGAAAAATGTATGTGGTGTTTAGGGACCAGGAGATGCGATCTCTGTGACGTAGGTTTTAGAAAAACATTTTCTTTATCATGCCAACGTTTCGATCTTTATTGAGATCATCATCAGAGCCTGGGATTTATAACATTGATTAAATTTTGCGAATACATGTAGGATGTGGAAAAAAATGAATTTATACAATGCTAGAAAATTTTAGATAAAAAAATAAATTTATACAATGCTAGAACATTTTCGATTAAAAAATGTATAAATTGTATAAATTCATTTTTTTTTAATGTAAAATTTTCTAACATTGTATAAATTCATTTTTATCTAAAATTTCCTAGCATTGTATAAATTCATTTTTTCCACATCCTACATGTATTTGTAAAATTTAAACAATGTTCGTAAATCCCCGGCCCTGAGGATGATCTCAATAAAGTTCGAAACGTTGGCACGATAAAGAAATTTTTTTCTAAATCCTACGTCATACCAGACCGCATCTCACGATTTCCGAATGAACAATAAGAAACATGGTTGCAATTTTTTGTCATTTTGTCTGCGTTTAAGGTTTTAAATTTAATCTTCATTCCTTTTGATTGCATTTCCTCACTATCAAAAATTAATTATGCGAGATTTTTACCTCATCCAATTTTTCTGCTGATTATTTAACGAAATATAATCTTTTTCGGGCCTCTGCAGGTGTTCGTATCCTGTCCTGC